GATATTATTTTAACAGCCTTGTTGTTTAATTAAACAAATTTATGGGTCCACAAAAATAATTATTATTAATTTCTTAACCTTTTGCTACAGCAATTAAGCGTAGCATATTCAAAACCAAATGGCATTATTAATGCATTTCAAAATTTTTGTCTTACACACATTTTCACCCTAGATAGATTTATGGAATGGATGTGCGGGCATTCTAAAATTATAACGCACCGAAAACCAAACCGATCGCGTGGGCGACACACCCGCTGCAGGTGCACAAAGGGGGGCGCCAAAATACACAAAATAGATGAATGGGTGACATGGAAAGGGAAGTCGATGGGCATAGGCAGCATGATGGGAGTGGGGCTTCGCACACGCTCGAGACGGGAACTTCACCAATCAACAACAAAAATAACAAAATGTCAAACAGAGCGCATGCAACAATTTATTTAAATACCTTGGGCTCATCAAATTTAAGTTAGCACACCCCGAACGAGACGCAAAGCGACAGACGGCAGCGAGAGGAAAAACAAAATAAAATAAAAACTCGAAATGAAAATGAAAATTCAATTTTCCACCTAAACGCAGACACCGCATCATTTTGAAAATGCGTTTCCACGACGAACGCACGACGATTTGTTGGGTTGGCCAAAGTGCTCTGGCCAGGAGCAGGGGCAGCCACTCATAAGACAGCCAAGAAGTCAAGAGAGCCAAGTCGTTGTCGAAGTTAAAGAGATGCAGGCGGTTGCCATTGCCAGGCTGACAGACAGAAAGCCCCGCCGGCAGCATCCCACAACTTCGATTCGCCTTTTGGTCGGCTGTCAACGAAAGGCAAGCCCTAAAGTGAAAATTGTGAAGCACATCCCGCAACACACACATGCAAGCACACACACGCACACACTCACACATTTTACAATTGGTATGTAATGTGTGTGTCTACACTCATCGTAGAAGATTTTTGTATTTATTTAATTTATGCAACAATTTTCCATACTTGATCAACTTGTCCAACTCGTTGCCGTAGCCCATAGATTCTTTTGTATTAAGATTTAATTAGCTTTATCGGCCATTAAGATTCCAGTCATGATACAATAACTGTATCCACAGTCACAGTAGCCAAGTACTACACCCACCAGTGACTGACGGGCGATGGCGCAACTTTCTCTACATTTTTTGGGGTTTTATTATTTTTCAGCAAGTTTATGAGGCCAACAACGAAGTATTTATGATATTTACAACAAAAGAGCGAACGAACGAAGAAAATTTGACTCAAATCGAAATAAAAACATACAAATTAATTAATGCCAATAAACAAGAGGCATGCTCCTATATAGTACAGGGGCCCCGCCCCGCACCCATTAATGGAGGGCGCCGTACGCATTGGTGAGTTTATGGCTATGAAGCCGAGGCATCCGCGGCAATGGCAGCCCGCCAGGCTGTTTGGCTGTTGAGTGATCATGCCAGATCAGGCCCGGGTAGGGGCCAGGGGCGATATCAGCTTGGCATCCACTTCGCTGCCAATTTAATGGCGTTTTTACAACTTGAAAGATTCGTGCCTGCCAAGCCGTTTTGAGCGATGATGTTGGGGGCCACTAAATGCACACGAAATGCAGCGCAACGAATGTCATTAGAACATAAAAATGATATTAATTGCATGCGAGAGTGCAGAGCCCGGAGAGCCGGAGACCAGAGTTGGAGACCAACTGCCACTGGCATGCAATAGAAACGTCAACATTTTGATGATGGAATTGAATGGCGCACCAGTATCTTCGCACTGCGATCCACTTAAATGTGTGCCTGACTCTTTGAAGGGGACGGGCCTGGCAGCAATGTCGTCGACGTCGTTGTTGCCGTTGTTGTCGTCGCAGTCTGCAAGAGATCGCATGGCGCAGATAAATAATAAAAATTAAAAATAAATTAACACCTAGTAAAGAGGCAGCCTCTGCGTTACTTGGATGCTGCTTTCGGGTCCGGGTATGGGTACGGGTACGGCTATAGGCCAGTACCGCAGACAGCTCAAAAATAGCGCAAAAGTAATTAAAAACGAAAATATAAAAGCTAAACGCACACACAGTCAGCGCTCCCATCTAGCATATCGCCTCTCGTATCCCGCATCTCAGTTTCTCTCGCGCCGTAAAAAATATGTTTGTCTATATTGGATTCAACAAGCGAAACGTTGCCGCCATCGCAGCCAACACAGATCAAAGGCCCGGTCGGACCGGCAGCCTGCTCCCGGGCAGTCTTTAGAGTGTTGCCATTATGATGATGCTAATGCAGTTGACATTTTATGCGAGACCAGAGAATGCACCCAAACAGTTGACTCTAGTCGAGCCGAATGGGAGGCTCAGCAATTGGCGGCAGTCCTATGTGCCACGCCGAATACCAGCCCGATAATTAAATGCAATAATATTTCAATTTAATTAGCTGGCAGCTGGTAAATACCATTGGGGTAATGTTTAATGATTCATTAGGATAATATTTGGGTTATGTTAATGTGCTTTTATTTATCATGAACTGATAATGACAATTTTATGATGCTCATGAAATTGGTCTCAAAATGACAATTGTTCGTCAATTAGCTTGCATAAATACTTCCACTACATCTTTTAATAACATTTTGCTTTATTTGTGATTCAATGTACACTACACTCATTTAGTAAGAACGTATATTTAACAAGTCAACTGCTTTTATTTCGCTAAAAACAACTAACTTTTAACATTTTTATGAAATTTCTTAAAACCAATCGATTGGCAAAACTATATAACGAAAGCGATCAACTACCTATACAATATATATTAAAATATGCTTAAGCTGCTTTATTAATCATTCAATCAGCTCGGATTTTCATGTCAATCCTGATACTATTATATTTTCTGCATAATTAAACAGTTTAGTACAAAAATAGATAAATAAAGTGTTTACCAATTTATTGAGTGCAGTTCCCATCAGAAGATCCATGTTTGACATTGATTTATTTCTGTTTAAGCGATTACTAGAGCTTCTGCCCCACTTCTCAACTCTTAAGCTATTTATTTATTAACTGCGACAAGTCAGTTCCGTGATTTACTGCAGATAGATATTATGATAACAAGTCCAGATAATGAACACATTCTTTGTTTAGTGAATTGCATAAGTATCGTGTGATTCTGGGAATAAGTCAGAATTTATCCAACTGTATGCTATTAGTTGACAATATTTAATTGTCATCCAAGCACTTAATAAACATACAAATCCTTGCAGAAACCCACCTATGCACACACACACACACACTCACACATACACACAGCCTGAATGACAGTGCAGAGTGCGACTGCAGCGTGGCGCAGACATTGGCAGGGGAAACTTTTTATGCTACTGCGCACAGACAAACCGTCCATGGAGGCATTTCATTGAATCCAATTATCGCTGGACATGGCATAATAATTACTGTCTGCTGTCCTCACGCACATGCACAACAGCACACACACACACACACACACACACACACGACCAAACAAGGTAGCTAGAAGCGAATAAGCGACATTGAGGGCCAACTGCCGCTAAAATTGCCTCCGAATGGGTGGCGTTAGGTGGCATATCCTGGCCTTATTGCTTATCCAACTAAATCGCAAGTACTTGTGGGGCAGAAGAAGAAAGCGCTTAGGTGTGGGGACGCCAGAGAGCGCGCCAAAGCTTACGCAAACATGAGCCGAAGGATGCTGCCAGGCCGCCAGCAATAAAACAAAATTGCCACATATAAAGGCAAATAATGAAGTGAAAATGGCAACAATGTGATTACACACAGTGCCACAGGATAGACCTTAATAAATTGCCAACAGTAGCACACAAAGGGAGGGAGAAAGTCAGACAGCGCCTGAGTGCGAGAGGGAGCGAGAGCGAGAGTCAAATTGAGCGCCAAATTGGCAGCTTGTGAGCAACTGCGACGGCGCCTTGCCTCAATGTTGCTAGCAACATGTTGCTGGCAGCTAACTTGTTGGATGCGCGCAGCTATGCATGTTTGTGTTTGTGTTTGGGTTAGTGCTTATTGCCACGCGTTTGCCTGACTTTTATTTAAAATCCACGAATTAGGCGCCCCACGAAAACGTCATTTAGCTACCTCAATTGCCGCACGGCTTCCCTACAAATTGATTACCTGTGCTCGCGGTTTGCAATTTTGCAATTGCGAGCTACAATTATTATAAGCACTTTAAATAATGAAAATTATTAATTGTGCAGCCATAATGTCATCATTTACAGCACATCAAAAGCACGGACCAAACAACAGCAGCAACAGCTATTTACAACAGCAACATGGGGCAGCAGCTGCGGCGCGCGCTTCATGGCAACATTAAGACGAATTAAATTGCTTGTAATGATGATGGTGACGGCAACAGCAGCAACAATGGCAGCAGCAGTACACACACACACACGCACACACACACATACGCAGAAGTGAGACGCCACCGGGTTAAAGAGGGCTAAATGCGTGCAATCATTGTGGGTGGGTGCTGGGTTTTTGTTTGTAGGTGTGAGCGTGTATGTAAGTGTATACGAGGGGAGAAACGGGTAAATGTCAGACAGCATTTATCCATTTGTAGCTGGACGCTGGGGAGCAAAAGCAGCATTTGCCGCTGGGCAGCCAGACGGTTGTATGGCACTCGAGTTGTCGATACGGGCATATATATATGTGTGTCTCCTGACTTTGTGTATGTGTGCCTGTGTGTTTGTGTGTGTGTGTGTGTCAGCGAGTGTATGTATTTAATGGATACACAGTTGTATCTTATCGCATATAAAATTGATTTTGAGACCCAAATAGCCTTGATCAGAAGTTCGCACTTCAAATTTGGAGAAATGTGCGCATTTCGCTGTAATCGGCAGTATGTAAATTATTATTATTATTCAATACAAGTCAGGCAGGCCTGGAGAACAATTTCGGCAATTGTTTTTCATTTTACTATCATTAAATTCAGTTTTAATCTATTATCCGAGAAGCACAACACAAAAAAAAAATATATAAAAATAAAACAAAGAATTTTCTCGAATTAGCAGGTATTCAAACTGCCGTATTATCTGAGTTTTTAATTTTATCGAATCAACGCAAAGTGAACAGAAGAGCAGCCACATGGAGCAGGGAGTTGTTGAAGAACTAATACACCTGCAGTTGCCCGAGGTGGAAGCTGTCGACGTTGTCAACGTGCCAGATGGCAACGGCGATGGCGACGGCGATGGCGACGGTGACGGCAACGACGCTTGGGAAAGGCAACTGGATGAGGTTCAGATGCAAGCGATGCGCTTGGAGAATCCCCAAGTGGCCATGTTGCTGGATGCCCCGCACGAGCCACCCATTGAATTGCACCACATGCTGGAACCGGTGAACGTCCCTCAACGGCCGCGCAAGAAACGCAGCTTTTTGACCATCTCAAAGCCCTTTCATGTGCAGCCGGAGAGGTGCGCTCTCATTTCGAATGGCTGGAGAGCAGTGCAGTGTGTCCAGCCGGAGAAACGCGGTGAATACTTTGCCAACTATTTGATAAAGCATATGAATAGTCGAAACTATCCAAATGGCGAAGGATTGCCAAATCGCTGGGGCCAGTTCTGAGCTCCCAGCAAGCCCTCGACTATTTTCATACATGTTATCAGACACAGTGGAGAAGGGGGTTAAGCAACAATAAACCTATAAAAACCAATCTAAGGCATATGACTATTTTATATGAGATCCTGTCTCTAAAAGTCAATTGAATGCCGCAAGATTGTCTATTGTAGTAGCATCAGGCCAGGGGCTCTTCAAAATAGCTTACAGACTGCATGAAATTGCCAATTAATAAACGGCAAATTGCTAAATTGAAAACTGAATAGGGCTCATACGCCCACACACCTGCTATCAGTCTGAGTGCAGCGCCACAATCCTAGCCTAGGTATGAACAATTCAAAAGGCCAACACCCTGTGGCCCTTTTATTTGCAACTTGCTTGCAGTTTATGTGCACATATGGATATAAATGACAATAGCAATGACAATACAAAAGCCGATGAACGTACAATTGGGCAAAGTGTATCAAATAAATACAAAATTCAAAAGATAATTGCAATCAAAGCCACAAAATGTAGCCAAAAGGCTTATAAATTGTGGGCTTGCACCACCATAGGATGTAACCACACGCACGGGCTTGTGGATATCTGGATGGTCATACAAATCGAAACAGAAGGTACACTCTTTTTACAACACAATTGCAGCACAAACACAAGTGCAATTCTGCACACACGAAAGCAACAACAATGAAATTTGTAAATTACTCGCATTTTGCATATTACCGCCAGCAGCCGCAATAACAAACTTAAATAGCACGATTATCCGATGCTCTGTAAATCTCAATAGAATAATATACAATTTTTTTGTTTTTTAATCCTGTACAAAGTAAATTTGTTACTCATTTAATACCAATGTTTTCTCAATTTTCTCGTCCTGTTGTTCACTTTCGACCCAAAAGGAAGCTTTAGTATACATTTCAGCCTGGTAGGTCTGACCGATTGGGCTGTGCGTTGGTCATCGTTTAGTCAGTCATTCAGAACAAACTCGTTTATATATATAGATATAATATTTTTTTATTTAACAAAATATTTTCTTTTGTGAAAAACGGCCACTCTGAATTTTTATATTTTCGTCCGTTTCCAGTCATAAAGAACATTTTATGTTTTAGTCAGAAGTTAAATGTTTTCATATAAATGCATGCTATAAAACATGTGAAGTATCTGCTGGATCAATATCTAGTATCCTTTGTCTGTAGCTGTAAATAAGATTAAAAAAAAAGAGTTGGCAATTTACGACTATTATTGCAAGATACTTGAACAATATTATGTGGTGCACTCAACCACACATACCAAACCTGCCACCAACCAATTGTTCTGGCTATTCGACATTTGATTTTAGAGCTCGGCACTTGCAACAATGTTGCCGAGCCTCTGTAATTGAATTGAGTGCAATTGATTTTAGAATTGTTTAGCTTCTGTTAAGGGATTGGGCACTTAGAACTAAAAAACAAAGAAAGCAACGATTGCATTTCAAACGTAATTATGGCTTGTCGCCCAGCAGCAGACAGTTCACCCACGACCTCAAACTCTGTGTAAATCAGCAAGGGTTGATTAATTTACCAAATGCAACAGCAATCTGGCCATGACAGTGGTGCTTTTTGCCCGCTTCACCCGCAATGCCTCAGCTCCCACCCATAAAAGTCATTTGTCAATGCAGGACGAGGTTGGGGGTTGCAGATTAACATTGGTTTGGTGTTGGGGTAGGGTTGTTAGCACGAAAGCAGTGAATGCATGAAATGTGATTGCTTCTGCTTTATTGTATGTCGCTCTGTTCGTCATTTAATGGCTTTTGATCTATCTACCACTGGCAATTCCAAAATTCGAAATTCCCCTCAATCTACAAGCCATCGTACCTGCCTTTTATTGAGTAATTGATGTTGCCTTTGTTGTCCTTCCATATGCATTGTTGGCTAATTTCACCGTGCCGCCCATTAACGCCATTTATCAATTAGTGTAATTTTAGTGTCATGGGCAAATGGGAAATAGCTTGCCAAATTACAAGAATACTCTCTTATACATATGCGAGTATGTCAACTTGCAACTCAAATTTCGATAGAATTTGCTGAACTTTACTCGGAAAGTAAAGACGTAAAGAAATGTTAACAAATTAGCCACAACTTCTGATGCCCTCTTTTTACATTAAATCATTTTAGTTGCGGTACTCACCCTATTAAAACTCATTTTCTCTTTTATATATTCCAATCCATTGGAAGCCGTCAAAAGACTTGTATAATTTTTGTAGTGTCTTCCGAATTCGGTTCGGTTTCAGAGTTGCTTTTATTGTATTTATGGCGCAACGTGTGCACAAACTTTTCCACTTACAAACAGTTCACAAGTAAAATACCTACCTTGACTTTTGCGAAGCTGCCCAAGGAGAGCGAAGATGGGCGTGGGCGGGGGCGCGTCTAGTGAATCGGAGCTTAAGACGGTGACTACGATTACGACCATTACCAAGCAAGTCGAGTGTGCCCCTGCAGCATATTGCGCACGCACACAGAGAGACACAGGGCCAAGTACATGTAACAAATTGCTGGAAAATATATGTATGCAAGCATTTAGCAAAGACGGCAGCAAAAACAGCAACAGAGCCAACGACATCCATGGGATACAGCAAATGGCTAGCAAAGTAAGCAACATTAAACATGCTTTTCAGCGTAAGTGGCGTGGGTGGGCCGCTTAGCACATCCGTTGGGTCGCCCGGCTTCCTTTTTGGAAATACAGATCGAGATACTTGTGACTGCAGCAAGTTGTCTGTCTAAATACAAGCAGCAGACCTGCAACATCAACTAACAATGTCTGAGCCTGACTGTGCCTAAGCCTGAGCCGTATTTCTATCTGTTCGCAATACAGCAACAGATGCTCCAGTTTTTCTTATTTGTGTGTGTTGGCTGCAAAGTCTTGCTGCTGAGTACATTATTCGAGCAGCATTTGCTCTGATATTCCGAGGAATGTATCAAATTCAGTATTGCATAAAGTTGCCATTGGCAACTGGGGATAAGAATGCCAGTCGAGATTTAACTAAGCCTCACGTACAACACACCAGGATATAAATGTTGTGATACATATTATTCTCACTGGCAAAACGCAACTTTATTATAATATTCGTATTTCATGATATAGATGAAGATCTTAAAAGCGAAACATATGATATTAAAGTTCAATTAAATGATGCTTATAAATCGACATACTCCGAAGCTGAAGTAAGAAAGAAAATAATCTTTTTTACCTTTACATAAAATATACAAGATGCAGACATAAGCAATTAATCATAGTAATGTCTAAAGATTTCTGCAATCAGGCCAACCCAAGCCCAAAGCTTACATGCTACACATATCTTGAAAATCTACTTTTGAGAGCCGCCAATGCCTGGCAAATAAAAAATACATTGCAATAGCCAAACAGTTTCAAGCTGACGTCCATCAAGTGTTCCGCCGTTCTAAAAAGTGCACTAGCCTGATATTAGAGCACAATAGCATTCATTTCACTGCGCTTAACAGTCAAGCACTTGTTGGAATTTGGCAAAGATGCGCAAACAGACAGCATCCATAGCTAGATATACAATGAATGGATACACACACATATATACACACACCTAGATAGACGGACAGAAATATACACAGATTGAAGGCAGATGTTGTTGTTGCCCAAGTAAATAGACAATACGCCAGTGCAAACACTCAGCTCAGGTAGTCGGGCAGGAAAATGCCTGAACAGCATTTTTGACTGGCAAAATGCTTATAAATATTTTAGAAAATATTCAAAAACTTTAATGTTGCAGCACAAATGCCAGGCAGTTATTGTTTTGGCATTGGCGTTGCCCTGTCCCAATGCGATTTCCGTTTTATTGTTTCGAGCGAAATGGCAATTCAATTAAAGCATGAAAACTTATATTTGATACACAATTGAGTTGCATATTAAATTTAAAAGTGATATTTACTTATCTCTCTGGCGAGGCAATCAGCAAAGGCAACTGCAATGTGGATTCACTGAGCAATTCAATTGAATTTGTATTTTTAATTGATGGCAATTTGCAAACTCCTTGCTATCAACAAATATGTGTGCTTGTCTCCTTCATTGTCTGTGTTTGTGTGGGTGTGTGTAGGACGAACCATTAACACATTTTAATCTGCCGCCAGCTGATGGCTTTTGTGTGGTCGTCGTCGACCCAATGGGGAACGTACTGCGCCTGGTGCTCTTAATCATCAGCATAAGCAATAATGGGAAACAATTGCCGTCGTCTGACATTTGCCTTCTGCCTTCTGATGCAGCCGGGTTGGCAGACGCCTTTTGCTGCCACTGCTGCAGTTGCAGCAGAACGAGGCAAACTTTTATTGCATTGCCATGTCAACAGCAATCGCAATCTGTATGCCGTTGCACTTAAAATGCGAATACGAATTGTGGCGAAAAATGAAGCTACTTGTCTGCCCGACAGTGATACAGACACATATACACACACAGATACCGAGAGATACACACACAATCTGGTTGCCAGGCAGAGCGAGATGGTGAGTGTAGCAGGCTGTGGCGAAAGACAAGCTCAACTTTCTGTCCGTATACTGAATGCCTGCCACATTCAATTAGTGCAACAACATATCCTGCCAACCAGCTGCTGTTGCTGCTGCTGCTGTATCGTGCGAAAGAGCAACACGAACAGCAGTAGCAGCAGCAACAACAAAAACAACAGGAACACAGCTACACTTAATTTTATTCATTTGACAGTTGCAACACAGGCTCACTTGCTGCCACACACAAGCTGGCACTCACACAAAACGCACACTGGCACACTGAGAGTGCTGCACATGAATCGCTGCCACACGTACGCCAGCAATTAAGGTCATTCTGGCAGTAGCAGCAACAGCAGGAGTTGCAGCCGCAAATGCCGCATTCTCAATATGGGCAGAATTATTTTTTAATTATGACATTTTATTGACTGAACATTAATGGCGGAATGACAAAAAACCCTTATTGTTCCGCCTCTGAGGGAGTGTGGGGCGGCAGCGATGCTAATGAGCAGGGTTGCAAAATTGCATTGTACAGAAACTTAATCAGGGTCGTGGCATGCCACAAATGAACCTTTGGAGGAGCTGTGTTTAAAAGAAAACGGG